TTTTATATATGGCTCTTGTAAATATCATATAGCTGGATTTTTAAAATATCCAACCTGACAATCTCAGTATAACTGGAGAGTTTTATTCATTAACTTGCTTTTCTTTTTCATTTTACTACCTACACATGCATGCTTCTTCAATGTATTGTTTAGTCTTGGTTTTTTGAATTTACAAAAATGCTATCACACTAAATTGACTCCTCTGTGAATTTGCTTCTTGCACTCTCCATTATGTTTTGAGATCACGCATGTTATTGTGTGAAGCTATAGTTTATTGAATTTCTTCAGTGTGTAGCTCATTCTGTGACTATATCAAAATGTATCTATGTTGTGCTGAGTTAGACATCTGGATTACCTCTGGTAGCATATATATACGCACACATGTATATACACGTGTATATATATACACACATACATATATATTCATTCATTCATGCTAATATGATAAATACTCCCATGAGAATGTCTTCCAGTGCATATGTGCAGGATTTTCTAGAAGTGAAATTGCAGACCCCAGGGTAGACATATGTTCTATTGACCAGGCAATGCTACACTGTTTTTTTTTCTTTTCCACCTCTGTGACATACAATGATTTTGTGTAACAATTATAATTATTAATGATTACATACACTAAATCATAACAGAATTATAGGAGTTTCCCATTATTTTGAAATACATACCAGTAATATATTTATACAAATACAGCTCAAAGAAAGCCAAACACCATTTCATATTTGACAATGCTTCTTGTGTGATCTTTATACTAAATAAGCCAAATTTCACCCTTTGCATTAGTGTACTATTAATGTCAACCCCAATTCTTAATAACACCTTATAGACAAATGTATCCAATCTTAATCAGTTTGACCATAAGGTAAGATTCTCATAAACCTTTTATAACCATTACAATTTTCACTAAAGAGCAGATCAGAGTTCTAAAAACAACCCTTAATTAATTGATTATTATTGTTTCATAATTTATAATTTATTATTATATATTTAATATTATTAATTTATATTATAAGATATAATATGTAATATATTATAATATATAATATCATATCATATAATACATTACATATTATATCATATCATTATGATATATATATCATATTATATGATATATAATATATCATTATAACATATTATATTATAATAATATGTTACAATACTATATATTATAATAATATATTACAATACTATATATAATAATATATTACAATATAATATATTACAATATACTTTTATTTATTTTATTGTGTATTACTATTAATTAATAATTAATTTTATTTATCTTAGTTTTTATCTGCTTTTATTTTAATATTCAATTTACAGAAAAACTGAATAATACCCCTTTAACTTTAGCAAATATGTTCACACAGAGAATCTCTTTTACAATTAATTCTTTATGAACCTTCCACAACTTGTTGAAACATTTAGATACTTTCTATCTCACTTAAAACAATCCTTTAACTCTCTAAACATAAGCAAGAAATCCACATTCCCTTGCCTTCTTACAGTCTTTTACTAAAAGTACATTCTGCTTTCCTTACATGCCTTGCCTGTAGAACTGTTTCTTTAGTAGTCTCAGATACATATTACAATGTTAACTCTTAGCAAAGTTTACTTTTGGTGAAAAACCTGGTTAGTAAGCAATTGTGTAGAGCCTAGGACATCAGACAAAAGTGCAGATAAGGTCTGACTGTTTCCAACATAGCTTGCAGGCATGGCTAACTCCACATGTCCCCAGGCCATATCTAGAATCTAATAATCCAAAGTAGGTAAACTGAACAATTTTTAAAACTTAAAGCAGCAGTTTATGAACTTAAAGCATGTAGGAAAACTAATATCTGATCTGCCTAATTTAGATCAAATGTCTAAATTTTGAAGACATTTTAATTTTACCAATAATCTTTAAAACTGTCCTTATTTCCCAAAGCTTACTAAAGTCAGATGAACCAAAAGGCACTGTAGTTTTTCTTTTTCTGACAAAATATTTGATTTAAGCTCTTATTACTTTTAAACCAATTAATCAAAACTCTTTCACATATAAACAGCACACACACAACACATGCAAATAGACAGACAGAAGAAGATCCAGTAGTTGTATGATTTTTCATTCACAAGTTTCTTTCTCTTTTTTAATTTAATTTTTAAAATGTGCACAACGTGCAGATTTGTTACATAGGTATACATGTCTCACGTTAGTTTGCTGCACCCGTCAACTCATCATTTACGTTAGGTATTTCTCCTGATGCTATCCCTCCCCCAACCCCCCACCCACCAACAGGCCCCAGGGTGTAATGTTCTCCGCCCTGTGTCCAAGTGTTCTCATTGTTCAATTCCCACCTATGAGTGAAAACATGTGGTGTTTGGTTTTCTGTCCTTGTGATAGTTTGCTCAGAATGATAGTTTCCAGCTTTATCCATGTGCCTGCAAAGGACATGAACTCATCTTTTTTATGGCTGCATAGTATTCCACAGTATATATGTGCCACATTTTCTTAATCCAGCCTATCATTGATGGACATTTGGTTCCAAGTCTTTGCTATTGTGAATATTGCCACAATAAACATATGTGTGCATGTGTCTTTATAGTAGCATGATTTATTATCCTCTGAGTATATACCCAGTAATGGGATCGCTGGGTCAAATGGTATTTCTAGTTCTAGATCCTTGAGGAATCACCACACTGTCTTCCACAATGGTTGAACTAATTTACACTCACACCAGTGGTGTAAAAGTGTTCCTATTTCTCCGCATCCTCTCCAGCATGTGTTGTTTCCTGACTTTTTAATGATCACCATTCTAACTGGTGTGAGATGGTATCTCATTGTGGTTTTGATTTGTATTTCTCTGATGACAAGTGATGATGAGCAATTTTTCACGTGTCTGTTGGCTGCATAAATATCTTCTTTTGAGAAGTGTCTGTTCATATCATTTGCCCACTTTTTGATGGGGTTGTTTGCTTTTTTCTCATAAATTTGTTTAAGTTATTTGTAGATTATGGACATTAGCCCTTTGTCAGGTGGGTAGATTGCAAAAATTTTCTCCCATTCTGTAGGTTGCCTGTTCACTCTGACGGTAGTTTCTTTTGCTGTGCAGAAGCTCTTTAGTTTAATTAGACCCCATTTGTCTATTTTGACTTTTGTTGCCATTGCTTTTGGTGTTTTAATCGTGAAGTATTTGTCCATGCCTATGTCCTAAATGGTATTGCCTAGGTTTTCTTCTAGGGTTTTTATGGTTTTAGGTCTGACATTTAGGTCTTTAATCCACCTTGAATTAATTTTTGTATAAGGTGTAAGGAGGGGATCCATTTTCAGCTTTCTACATATGGCTAGCCAGTTTTCCCAGCGCCATTTATTAAATAGGGAATCCTTTCCCCATTTCATGTTTTTGTCAGTTTTGTCAAAGATCAGATGGTTGTAGATGTGTGTTATTATTTCTGAGGCCTCTGTTCTGTTCTATTGGTCTATATATCTGTTTTGGTACCAGTACCATGCTGTTTTGATTACTGTAGCCTTGTTGCATAGTTTGAAGTCAGGTAACATGATGCCTTCAGCTTTGTTCTTTTGGCTTAGGATTGTCTTGGCAATGCAGGCTCTTTTTTGGTTCCATATGAACTTTAAAGTTGTTTTTTCCAATTCTGTGAAGAAAGTCAGTGGCAGCTTGATGGGGATAGTATTGAATCTAAAAATTACCTTGGGCAGTATGGCAATTTTCACGATATTGATTCTTCCTATCCATGAACATGGAATGTTCTTCCATTTGTTTGTGTCCTCCTTTATTTCGTTAAGCAGTGGTTTGTAGTTCTCCTTGAAGAGGTCCTTCACATCCCTTGTAAGTTGGATTTCTAGGTATTTTATTCTCTTTGAAGCAATTGTGAATGGGAGTTCACTCAAGATTTGGCTCTCTGTTTGCCTGTTATTGGTGGGCAGGAATGCTTGTGATTTTTGCACATTGATTTTGTATCCTGAGACATTGTTGAAGTTGCTTATCAGCTTAAGGAGATTTTGGGCTGAGACGATGCAGTTTTCTAAATATACAATCTTGTCATCTGCTAACAGAGACAATTTGACTTTCTCTTTTCCTAATTGAATACCCTTTATTTATTTCTCTTGCCTGATAGCCCTGGCCAGAACTTCCAACACTATGTTGAAGAAGAGTGGTGATAGAGGGCATCCTTGTCTTGTGCCGGTTTTCGAAGGGAATGCTTCCAGTTTTTGCCCATTCAATATGATATTGGCTGTGGGTTTGCCGTAAATAGCTCTTATTATTTTGAGATATGTTCCATCAATACATAGTTTATTGAGAGTTTTTAGCATGAAGGGCTGTTGAATTTTGTCAAAGACCTTTTCTACATCTATTGAGATAATCATGTGTTTTTTTCATTGGTTCTGTTTACGTGATGGATTACAGTTTATTGATTTCCGTATGTTGAACCAGCCTTGCATCCCAGGGATGAAGCCAGCTTGACTGTGATGGATAAGCTTTTTGATGTGCTGTTGGATTCGGTTAGCCAGTTTCTTAATAGAATTACTAGCTTCAGGGAAGAGCCCTTGGAGGAAGACCAGGAAAGCATGCATTTTCCATGGCGTAATAAGCAGGCACGGCCAAAGCCATCAACTGGTGTTGCACACAGATGATTTTCCCTTGGGCCAGAGGTCTCTTCAGTATAATCCCTTCATGGTTTACCAGAAAAATATTACTGGAAAGAGTTCCTGATCCAGACCTCAAGAGAGGGTTCTTGGATCTCACACAAGAAAGAATTTGACGCTGAGCATGGTGGCTCACACCTGTAATCCCAGCACTTTGGAAGGCCAAGGCAGGCAGATCACAAGGTCAGGAGTTCGAGAACACCCTGGCCAAGAGAACAGCCTGGCCAATATGGTAAAACCCCATCTCTACTAAGCCGTGGTGGTGGGTGCCTATAATCCCTGTTACTCGGGAGGCTGAGGCGGGAGAATTCCTTGAACTCAGGATGCGGAGGTTGCAGTGAGCCAAGATTGCGCCATTGTACTCCAACGTGGGTGACAGACCGTGACTCCTACTCAAAAAAGAAAAAAAAGAAAAAGAAAGAATTCGAGGCAAATTAGTACAGTAAAGTGAAAGCAAGTTTATTAAGAAAGTAAAGAAACAAAGAATGGCTACTCCATAAGGAAGAGCAGCCTGCATTGTTTTCTAAAATGATTATACAAATGTACACTCCTACTATAAACTGATGGAAGTTCCTTTTGCTCCATATTCTCACCAATTCTTGTTATTTGGGTTTTAATTATCTTTGCCAGTCTGAAGGATAAGAAATAAAATAATATTGTGATAAGAATTCTAATTTCTCAGATTAATAATAAAGTTGAGTGTCTTGTTATTTGCCTGTAATCTTTTGTATATCTTTTTCTGTGAAATGCATTTTCGTGTTCTTGGTCCATCTTTTTAGGTAGGAGTTAAGCATTCTGGATAAAATGTTCTCATCTATTATGTGTGTGGCAAATTTCTTTTTAGAGTCTGTGATTGGTATTTTCACTCCCTTTTTGATATCTTTTTATCACTATCAGTTTCTAATATCAAAATAGTCAAGTTTTTCTTCACAGTTTTTATCTTGTATAAGGAATTCTTCCCTATTTCAAGACATAAAAAGTCATTAAAATATTTTTCCATATTATCTTCTCAAAATTGCATAGTTTTGATTTGTACATGTTACTCTTAATCTATGTGGAAATTGTTTTGTGTTTGGTGAAAGTAGGAATCCAATTTTTTCTTTTGTCAATGTAGATAACCAGTTTACTTAACACTATTTTTAAAAAATTTTAAATTTTGTGAGTATTAATAACACCTAGGAGGTATGAATATTTATGAGGTACATGAGATATTTTGATGAAGGCATAGAGTGCATAACAATCACCTTATGGAAAATGAGGGGTATCCATCCCCTCAGGTACTTATCCTTTGTGTTACAAACAATCCAGTTGCACTCTTTTAGTTATTTAAAAATGTACAATTAAATTATTTTGACTATAGTCACCCTGTTGTGCTATCAAACACTAGGTCTTAATGTTTTTCTCTATTTTTTGTACCATTAACCATCCTCACCTCCCCCTGGTCTCCCACTACCCTTCCCAACCTCTGGTAACCATCCTTCTACTTTCCATCTCCATGAGTTCAATTATTTTAATTTTAATTTTTAGATCCCACAAATAAGTGAGAACATTTGATGTTTATCTTTCTGTTCCTGGCTTATTTCACTTAACAATAATGACCTCCAGTTTCATTCATGTTGTTGCAAAGGACAGGGCCTCATTCTTTTTTACGGCCAAATAGTACTCTATTGTGTATATGTACCACATTTTCTTTACCCATTCATCTGATGAGGCACACTTAGGTTGCTTCCAAATCTTGGCTGCTGTGAACAGAGTTGTAACAACCATGAGAGAGCGGATACCTCTTTGATATATTGATTTCCTTTCTTTTGGGTATATATCCAGCAGAAGGATTGCTGGATCACATTGTACCTCTATGTTTAGTTTTTTGAAGAACCTCCAAACTGTTCTCCATAGTGTTGATACTAATTTACATTTTCACCAACAGTGTACAAGAGGGTTCCCTTTTCTCCACATCTTGCCGGCATTTGTTATTGCCTGTCTTTTGGATATAAGCCATTTTAACCAGGGTGAGATGATATCTCATTGTTGTTTTGATTTTACATTTCTCTGATGATCCGTTAGAGCACTTTTTGAGCACTTTTTCATATGCCTGTTTGCCATTTGTTTGTATTATTTTGAGAAATGTCTATTCAAAGCTTTTGCCCATTTTAAAATTGGATTATTAGATTCTTTTCCTATAGAGTTGCTTGAGCCCCTTACCTATTCTGGTTATTAATCCCTTGTCAAATGAGTAGTTTGCAAATATTTTACCTCATTCTGTGGGTTTTCTCTTCACTTTGCTGATTGTTTCCTTTGCTGTGCAGAAGCTTTTAAACTTGTATGATCTCTATTCATGTATTGAATAGCTCCAGAATGGAAATTATAACAAACAGTCTCTCAGACCACAGTGCAATCAAATTAGAACTCAGGAATAAGAAACTCACTCAAACCGCACAACGACATGCAAACTGAACAACCTGCTTCTGAATGACTACTGGGTAAATAATGAAATGAAGGCAGAAATACAGATGTTCTTTGAAACCAATGAGAACAAAGACACAACATACCAGAATCTCTGGGACACATTTAAAGCAGTGTGTAGAGGGAAATACATAGCACTAAATGCCCACAAGAGGAAGCAGGAAAGATCTAAGATCAACACCCTAACATCAAAATTAAAAGAACTAGAGAAACAACAGCAAACAAATTCAAAAGCTAGCAGAAGTCAAGAGGTAACTAGGAGCAGAGAAGAACTGAAGGAGATAGAGACATGAAAAACCATTCAAAAAATCTATGATTCCAGGAGCTGTTATTTTGAAAAGATCGATAAAATAGATAGACCACTAGTCAGACTAATGAAGAAGAAAAGAGAGAAGAATCAAATAGACTCAATAAAAATGATTAAGGTGGATATCACCACTGATCCCACAGAAATACAAACTACCATCAGAGAATACTATAAACACCTCTATGCAAATAAACTAGAAAATCTAGAAGAAATGGATACATTCCTGGACACATACACCCTCCCAAGACTAAACCAGGAAGAAGTCGAATCCCTGAACAGACCAATAACAAGTTCTGAAATTGACACAATAATTAATAGCCTACAAACCGAAAAAACTCCAGGACCAGACAGATTCATAGCCGAATTCTACAGAGGTACAAAGAGGAGCTGGTACCATTCCTTCTGAAACTATTTCAATATGCCATTATTAAGAATGATGCTTGCTATAGGGTTTCTCCTTTTTTAAAAATGTCCTCTGTCAGATTATGGAACATTTGCAGAACTTCTCATCATGAAAAGGGAGTTTTCACTGAATGCTTTGTCTCCATCTATTGGAACAGTGACATGACTTTCTTCCTTTAAACTGTTAATTCAATTATTTCAGTGAATTATTTTTGTAATGTTAAACCAATCCTTTGATTCCTGAGACAAACACTCCTAGGTGATAATATAATATAGTATCTTTTTTTTCTTTTTTTTTTAAGGACACTGCTTGATTGAGTTTGCTGATATTTTATTTAGATTTTTTTTTTTTTTTTTTGGTTTTATGTTTTTCCCCACTTTCTTGTTTGGTTTTGGTATTAAGACTACACTGGCCATGATTCTCTGGAATAGTTTGTGTAAGCTTGAAATTAATTGTTCCTTGATTTTCCTGTAAAGTCCAATGGGCCTGAAGAGGTTTTTTTTTGTTTTTTTTTGTGTGTGTGTGTGTGTGTGTGTGGTCCTGTTGATGGATCCAATTTTGTTAATATTTATAAAAATAGGCAGATTTTCTATTCCTTCTAAAATCAGTGTAAAAAGTTGTATTTTCAAAATTATGCCATTATGTCTAAATTTTCAAATTTATGGGCTTAAAATTGGCTATAGTACATTCTTACCTATTACATTTCTGATGTATCGATAGTTAAGTACTTTTTTATCCTAATATTTCTTATTTTTTCTTTCTTCTTAACCTTTTCAAAGTCTTGTCTGTTTTTTTAATCTTTTCCAAACAACCAACTTTTGTCTTTTATTCTCTCATTTGTGTTTATTTTCTCTTGCATTAATTGTGACTTTTTTCTATGTGATTACCTTCCTTCATTTTACTTCCTTTGGACTTAATTTGCTGTTATTTTTTCTAGTTTCTTATGTGGGATGATTAATGCCTGATGACCTTTTTGATCCTTTTTCTTTTAAATGAAAGTATTAACAATTATTAAATTTCCCTACAAGTACCATAGCCTTTCACAAGTTTGACATAGTATTTTGCTTCTCCTTTGATCCATGAGTTATTTGGTAGTTTTGAAATTTCCAAATATATGAAATTTATTTCTAGTTTTGTTTTAGCTCATTATTAGCTTAATTGCATTTTGCCCAGAGAATGTTTCTGTGGTGTTTGTTTCTGTTGAGGCTAGTTTTATGTCCTCACAGGTGATCAAGTCTTGAAAATGTCCCCACCTACTTGGAAGAATGTGCATACATTAGCTGTTGTGTGCAATGCTGCATGTATCTAAACTTGCAAATTGTGCTGTTAAATCTTCTATATCATTATTCATGTTTTCTCTGCTTGAACCATTAATTTCTGAGAGAGGTGTGCTCAAATATTCAACTATGTATTTGTTTTCCCCTCTTGCAGTTCTATTTTCTGAAAATCAAATTATGCTTTTAGATGAAATTTTAGAACTCCATATCTTCCTAATGAATTGAAACTTCTATCATTCTGAACTGAAACTCCACCACTTGTAATGCTTTTTTCCTTTTTTAAAAAACTTTTTCATCAGACATTAACTAGTTGTGCCTAGTCTTCTCTGGGATACTTGATTAATATTTTCTTTTTGGTTAATAATTTCCATTCTGCATTAGTCTTTGGGTTCTTATGATTTGGGTATAAGTAGCATATAGCTGGATTTAAAAATATTCATTTAAGTGCATTTTAAAGAATTTCTTTCAGCAAAGCTTCTGGCTAGAAACCCAGAAAATCACCAGTTTCTATTTATCTTATTTTGTCTTCATTCTTAGAAAATGCTGTCTGAGTATAGACTTCCAGATTGTCAGTTCTCACCACCCCAAAGCTACTATTCCACTGTCTTTTGGCTTCCATTGCCGTCCTTAAGAAGTCAGACATTAACCTAAATTCCAGTTCTTCCTTGGTCTTAGTCCATCTTTTCTCTCTGGCCTCTAAAATCTTCTCTATTTGGCATTCTGAAGTTTCATTATATGTCTTTATTTTTAAAAAACCCCATTATCTATTCTGCTGTTCACTGGGTTTCTTGGATCTGATATTTTCTCCCCAGATTGTGTCTCTGTTAGATTTTATCTCCCTCTGAAACCTCAGTTAACTATGTTAAATTTCACTCAGCTCTCCTTGTGTCAACCTTTATTTTGTCCTTTACATCTCTATCTCTGTTCTACATTCTGGATAGATTGATCTGTCTCGGTCATTCACTGATTTTCTCAGTAGTGTAATTTGTTTAATGTGTCCAAGTTGTCAATTTTTAATCATTATAACTTTTGGTTCTAGAAGTTTGTTTAGTTCTCTTTCAAATCTGCATGGGCCTTCTTAATAGACTGTTTTCTGTTCATTTTTCAATCTTCTCTTTTATTTCCTTCAATGTATTGAAGTTCTCATGTAATCTGGATAATCTCTTTCTGTTGTCTGTTGATTCTGTCCTCATTTGCGCATGTTCCTTTTGACTGAAAGCTGCTCACTTTCTTAGAACTGGGTTGCCAGGAATTCTCTGAGGTGTGAGTTGAGGTTCAGTTCTTCCAGAGAACATTTGTTTGCTTCTGTCTGCTGCTTTAGGATTCTGCTAACACTGTTCTGTTCTAAATTATCAGTTTGAAGTCTTTTTTGAACACTTTGCTAATATAACCTTAGACCAAAAGCCTATACGAGGACAAATTTATGAACATGAATCCTCAGGGAAGATTTCCTTCCTTTACCCAGCACCAAGGGTAAGACAGCCTGTTTCACTGTGGGCTTCTCACTAACCTTGATGCAAAGGATGTAGCTCTGTGAGATCACAAATGTATGTAGACTGCTTCTATTAAATTTCTCCACCTTGAGGAGGCCCTGGGATCTTATGCTTAACTCCTGTGCGGTGGCCAAAGGGTGGGGGTGATGTGCTGCCTAAGTTCTCTAGGTCCAGCAGAAACCCTCAGGGTGAAATCTGGCTTTGGTGTCTCCATGTCTTTCTGGATTCCTGCTCTCACTTCACTTTGGGGATCTATGGATTTATTAATCTTATACCATCTCATATTCCACATTTTATGCATTTAAATAATTTATTTTTGTCTTATCCAAACTTCTACTAATTTGCATTGAAAAGGTCATCTCAGGTATCAAATCATTTAGAAATACAAAAATTAGCTGGGCGTGGTGGCGGGCACCTGCAGTCCCAGCTACTTGGGAGGCTGAGGCAAGAGAATCATTTGAACCTGGGAGGCGGAGCTTGCAGTGAGTTGAGATCGTGCCACTGCACTCCAGCGTGGCAAACAGAGCAAGACTTTGTCTCAAAAATAAAAATAAATAAATATCATTTATACAACCAGAAATAGAAATCCTAGACTTGTCCCAAGCTTCTTGCTTTGTGCCTTCTCTTTGTCCTCCATTTTCCATGATTTTTTGTTTTTTTAAAATTTTTTTTGTTTTTATTTTTCCCTTTCTCCTTGTACTGATTTGTGATTCACTGTTTCTGTGTTTTTAGTATTTACCCTCAAAATGTTACTTGCATCTCTACTTTAACCTTGCTTCTGAACAATAACAAGGCTTAGAAGACTAAATCCAATTACACATCTTTCAACTTATGTGGTGTTAAAAAAAAAATCAGTATCTTAGTTTATTATTTAATTTCACAATTTAAATATTTTAATTTTCTATACAAATTTTTTTCAGGCCAGGCGCGGTAGCTCACGTCTGTAATCCCAGCACTTTGGGAGGCCGAGGTGGGAGGACCGCTTGAGATAAGGAGTTTGAGACAAGCCTGCCCAACATGGTTAAATTCTGTCTCTACTTAAAATACAAAAATGTGCCAGGTATGGTGGCTGGTGCCTGTAATCCCAGCTACTTGGAAGACTGAGGTAAGAGAATCACTCGAACTCAGGAAGCACAGCAGGTGTATAGTTATGAGTTGCCAGTTGTTTTTTTCTTAGCACTTTGAAGGTGTTATTTTCCAGTCTTTTAGCTTCTATTATTTCTGCTGTGACTCCCACAATTTTGTTTTTCTCCTCTATCCGCCCCGCTATGTTCGGCACTTTTTCCTTCTCAAATACTGATGACATTTATGTTTCAGCCTTCTCATTGTGTCCTCCACATAATCCTTTTTCTTCAAATCCTTATCTCCAGGATGCATTCTGGGTAACTTGGATTTATCTTGATGTTTATTATTTTTTCCCTTCTTTCAGGAGGTGCACGGCTTCCTTTTAAATTGAACTAAAGTATGATATTAATTTTCTCTTCATCTGTGCATAACATGCTGTCTAGAACATTTCAAGAATTACACTTTGTATTTCCTCTGCATTTTTGATAGTTCTTAGTTCCTGCTGATTTTTAAAAATTCTATATTTGATTGCGATAGTTCTTTCCTATTTCAAATCTGATCATGCCAATCATCTGACATCTTTGTTCAGGAGGTAAAATATACTGATGAATTGCTTTTGCAAACTCTCTCTGCTGGTTTGTTTCCTTAGGTGTGCAATGACTGTGTGTTTGACTATGTTTGACCACACAATCCATGAGAGTTCTGAATTCCTGGGTTGCTTTCCTCCACAGATAATGTGCCTACAAGGAACTCCTAACATTTCAACTTTATCCACTTTCGGAGGTGGGTCCCAGGTCCAAACCTACTCCTGGTGTGGGCATCTGACCCCAGGAAAAACCCAGCTTCTTGCTATGCTCAAGTGCAATCGCAACCCACTGTTATGTTCTCTTGTTTACAGTCATTTTTGTTTGCTTGTTTTGGCCTTGAAAACTCTCTGCATTTACTTATGAGGTCAGCAGTGCTTGAAAAATCGTGCTTTTTATAATCTATTCAGAATCTATCAGTACTTTAGCTAATCGACTCTTCATAATGTCTAGTCTGCCAGAGTGTTAGATGTCAGAAGTCTAATAAATGACAGTTATTATTGATTCAGAAAATATAGCTTTTTTACCATGGGGCCACGTGGGATCCAGTCTTGGAGTGTTGAGAAATTAATAAACAGTTATTCAAAGAGGTTGACAAATATCATTGATTGCTGCCGAGTTACACAGATTTTTGAATCAGCATTTTAGAAATTGGAATTAGGTCTTCATAATGTAAATTTGTTTTGACACAGCTGCCATTTCAGATTCAAATGACAGAATTTGGTCTCGAGGAAGCAGCATACACTGTTCAGTTGTTCAACAAGGCAGTACTGATGCCGCTGATAACGCGGTTTCCTGCGGCAAGTCTTTCTGCCAGTTCACATCAAAATATGCATCGAGCATGATGGAAAAAGTGACCTTTTCGCTCCCCAAGTTCATTTTCTTATTGTCTCCTTCTCTCTTCTTGCTGGCTGGCAAAACTACATCTAGATCTTAAGTTTAAACCCCAAAGGGGAGCAAACCATTAAGAATCAAAGGGGTGCTTATCTGAGAATCTTAATCCCGCCAACATCAGAAATTTCCAAGACAGAAAAGAAAAGAACGTGCCTTTTCAGTGGGAATGAAGATGGTTTTGTAGTGTCTCCTGTGTGCTAGAATAACTAATCCAGTTGATGTCTTCATAATAAGATGCACCCTTCTATTTTCACTCATCTCAGATATGAATTATTAAAGACTGTCTTATTGTTCCTCTGTAAGTCCTGCATATAATGTAGAACTCATCTTGAAAAAAAGGTAAAACTGGAAGTAACAAAAAATAATAATAATGCATCTGGAGCTTATGACTCCTGCCCATCGTTAAATCACTTCTTGTACTTTTGTACCAAAACATTTTCCCCATTTTTATTTCCATCTTGTGCAGAAGGTAATCACCCTTCAGAGACACCTGCAGGGAGAGGCTACGAAGATGTCTGATAATTTGCAATGTATTTGTCTGTACATTTTCTTTCCAAGATTCTACTAAGTCAAGCACATCTGCTGTGAAGCATCAGTGGAGGATTACTTCATTAAATATTAAATACTGTTTTCTGCCTTTACAAATGTTTGTCCTACACAAAATCCTCAAATGGTAGAGGCATACAGGAGGGTCACAAAAATCTTCATGAACCTCAAACTGCCCCTTGCAATAGGCCACCCACTGAGATGCTATTAGTTTCTTACAAGTGGTTAACCACCTGCTGCTTTTCCCAGTTGAACAACTGTTATGATAATATCTCTGCATAATCATTTTAATGATAACTTGAGAAAATATATTTGTTGACTAGAAACAATCTTTAGGATGTGTAAAACTCATTTGTACCACAGCCTATCATTCAAAATGAAGAAAAAAAGTAGACATAAGCCTTATATTGCTTTTCCCAAAATCTATTTCTTTGCCTTTACATATATAATCAGAAATATAGATTTCAATCTATTTTATATTCACTTTGAAATCTTCCCATTCTATAATTTTAAGCCCTACGAAAATCTGAGACTATTAGTTTTCCTTGTAGTGCCATCTGCTGGTCTAGTTATTCTGACTGGGTTCTAGTTTGTTCACTAGAGAAAACAGGGTTTTCATACAATGAAAAATCTTCACACAGAAATCTTGCTAAAAGATTTTTATTTCACATGAACCTAATTTCGTTATATTTGAATTTGGAGATCTTTTTTACTTAACTCCCAAAGTTATAATCATCATGACTTAAAGTCATTTTTATGTATATCCATATCTATATTATTTTATACTATATGTTATTGTATTGAGGCTGACAAGTTGACTTTTCTATTTCCCTTGAAGTTACAAAAGTTTGGAAAGTTAACATTAATGTTTAATTACTTAAGTTCAAAGAAGGAAATTTTAAGGTTACAGAAAAAAATTGATAGATTAAACATTTTATATGATTTCAGTCAACTCTTTCCAACCTCAGAAAAAAAACATTTATACTTACTTTATACACTATTAAAAAGGTGGGTTTTGTACTGGCAAGTCTTGGATACTTTCCGCATTATCATATCTAGTTACGGGCAATTTTGTTCTGATTTTCTGTAGTCTATGACAGACACCTTCCAAAATCCCAGATGTTCATTTATTGTATTGTTTCAAATAGATGTCTACCCACAATTTGCAATCCATATGGCTTTCCAATAAAGGGTATTTCTCCAGCTCTGTGCTTGCATCCAACTCTCGAGGGTGCCCAGTGGTTTGCTTGCTGTGCCTCTGGCATGCTCACCATCTCAGTGGTTAGCCGAACACTGGAAAACATCCTCTCTTTCCTCCGCTCGCTGATGAGATATAATTTATGTTGATTCAACTCTTCACAAATTGCCATCTGTCAGCTTTGTTTTTTCTAATCCCTCATCTCCTTCCTCCATTATAATTGGTCGAACTGGCAGAAGCTCAGGTATTGGCTGGAGCAAAGGCTCTCTGTCAACAGAGAAGATCTCATTTGAAACCCACACTTCACTCATAAATTGCCTTCTTTTCAATCTTAGCTGTGGAAATATTTTCATTTGGTTTCTGATTATCCTCTGATTCACAGGAAATAAAACAGCAGCACCCACTGACATCTCTGGCTTCTGAGACTGGATTGAGAAGCAATTTGGCATCCATATCTTCCAAATAATCTGTCTTCCTTGGTATTCTCTGGTTCCAGGAGCTAGACATATGGAATATTCACAGTGAGAATACCCAGGTTCCCGCTTCTTTGTGTGCCTGGGGCACAGATCGATTTTACTGAAGATTTTTGTCCGAAAGGGACTAACTTCTTGTTCTTTATATAGATCTTTAAAAAATCTTTCTATAGCCCTGAAATATAGGAAAAGTCATTTAATGCTAATTAGAAAGTAGACAAGCACCATTTAATTAATAAGAATATTAAAACATGATGAAAATCTTCATGTCAACAGACTAAAATTAAGCATAAGTAAATCTTAATGTTTTCAAAAGTGCTTTCCTTAAGCCGAAATTTCTCAACCTTGACACTGTTGACACTTTGGGCCAGACAGTCATTTGTGTTGTGGGTCATCCTAGGCACCACGGGATGTTTAGCAACAACCCTGGCTTCTATCTACTGGATCCTGGTAGTACCCCTGTCCCCCAAGTTGTGGCAACCAAGAATATCTCCAGACATTGCCATATATCCCTTGGTAGATAAAGTTACCCCTCCAACTGAGAAACAAAATCACCATATATGAACATTAATGAAAGAAAAATACCGAAATATGGGTGATTATCCAGAAGTTCAGGTAGTTTTATTTAGCTTTCAAATGACCACACTGTAAGAACAATGTCAAAGGAATTAAAACGTGACACAAAACCACAGAATTTCAAAGTAGAGAGGAATAGAAAATATTTCCTCCAGAAATGAAGAGCCAGGATGTAGCTGATGACCACAGGCTCTGGACATCCTCCCAGCACAACCTGAGGCCTGAACACAGGACTCATTAGTCAAATATTCTAACAGAGATGTTTCCAACGACATTATTTTTTATTCTATAAGAAATCAAAAACCTGTGAAAACTTGTGATGGATTGCTGTTAGTGGCAAACTGCTTTTAAAACCACTGATCTGATGTATATAGTCTGAATGAAAAAGAAGGAAAAGTCTCTAATGGGTTGAGTTAATGTCATGGTTCTTGGCCACAAGCCTTCTGAACACACCCTCATTGAGGACCTGTCTATACTTGAGTTTTATGCATTTCCTGGAAGCAGAGTCCCTGTGCTCAAAGTATGCATCAGATTACCTGGCAGCTTGTTACAGTGTTCAGCCTGACCCCCATTAAGCATGGGAGTCATAAATTGGTAGTTCTGAGGAAGCTTTTCCAATGGGTATGTTAATACACACCATGGCATTCTATTATAGCCACTTTCCTTACTTCATGCAGTTGGATGTACCATAAGCTAAATCACGCCCTTGAAATATGAAAACTCATGCAATACAAATTTTATATAACATGGTTAGTTCTGAAATAGAAGTGTTAAGTCCAACCCAAATCCTTACGTTATAAAGGAATTACATTTTAAACAATCATTCATAGTGTATCATATCTAGTACTTACACTAGTGCTGACTTTGTAGCTTAGGGCTAATGGAATCAATCATGCCTGTTATGATTGGTGGAGACAATATATTAGAGCAGTTAAAACCATGGGTGACCAGACTTTGCTTACCTGTTTCTGCATCTATAAAATGGAGGCTAATAATAGTTCCTGCGCCTCCTAGGTTTGTTATAAGGGTTAAATGAGATATTAGATATGAAACATATAGTTTTTTTATCTGGCATGTAGTAGTAAGGGCTCAATAGTTCTTAGCCACTAGTATTTTATTTAATTACATAATAAATATTGTTATGGGGCCACCAGGTGACTGTGATAGTCTCTTTTACTCCAAATACTTCAATAGGTAACCTATTGAAGTAGAAATAGGGAAATTAACACCTAAGAAAAGTGGTTAGCCTTCTTAGAAGTAACCCAAGACATTTTGAGTGCTTGATAGAAGAGATTGGCAAACTCTTAGGTAAAGTCACTGAAATTTTATAGAGAAATGTAGGACCAATATATTGTATCCTAGCAATGACCAACAGAACATTGGAAGTCATCTTGGAATACTTAAAACAATTTAAGAAGGAGAAGGAGGTGAAACAGCAAGGATTTCAGTTTCTTTCCAACAGTGACCAGGGTCTTAACAAGCAGTTGTACCAGTTCTGATCCCTGTGGTGGGTAGATGGTGGAATCTGCCACACTGGATTATCGCAGCTGAATTGCTGGGTTGCTAAGAAATGCTGCTGCTCTGATTCCTGCTTGCCAAAACCACCTTCTGAGAATCACGTGACTTTCCATGTAGACTTCCCACTGGGACAATACGTCCTGGCATACACACGTTGATGTTGTGGTCCACCTGGAAGTTATAGGACTCACTGTAAATGACACCTCTGCATGCTTTGGGGGTTTGGTGAGTCTGTGACAGTTCAGAAAATGCCTCAAGAATGAGAAGCAGCACAGGACATGCAAAGCTAAGAACTCGGTCTCTGAAGATTGATCTGACCCTTGGCATTTGTACAGATCAATGTACTTTAAGTGATCTCTAGCTCCATGATCTCAATATCTCTTCAAGGCCTAAATACTTTGCTCTTCGCCACTCACTCAATGTGGGAACTGACTCTGTTAGTCTTACTGGTAATTATTAATTATTGACAGAGTGAGGATTCTGGGCTTCTGAACATGGTCATCCCTCTCCCTAATACAGTGAGACACTGAGTAGCAATTTAATTATGAAACATGTATACATATGTCTATAAAATTCACTGCCTTACGGAATTATGAGAAAATTGTCTTCTATCTTTGGAGGGTGAAAGGCCCTAGGAGAAGTGTCTAAAAATATCTGAAAGATATTTCTAAAGTGAAATTTTTACTGCACTGAATACCTATAAAAAGAAAGTCAATTGTTAAGTGTTAGATAAATTTTTTAAAAAGCTTAGCACAAAAGAGGTAGCAGATGGCATAAAAATATTTTGGATGTCTTGATACTTAGAAAGGTAAGATGAAGTAGAAATATAAGAATTATTAGCTATTAGTCCAGGAGAATTGTTCAGATACGACTACATGGTGTACCATCATTAGGAACTTCCATAGAGGTTTGAGATTTGGGCTGGCAATCTTTCTTGTCACATAACTGCCATTACGTTCCAGAAGCTTATGCCCTACAGCGTAGTTTGGCATTCTATTACATGTCTGTTGGGTCACAGTAGTGAAGAAGAAAAGAAGGAAGGAAGAAAGGTCATTATTAGGGGGAAAAACCAACACAAACTTATATGTTCACTGGTGGCCTAAAACAGGGTCAAAATGACCTACTCTACAGGTCAAAGAGTATTTGTCTCAAGACTATGAGGTGAAAGGAGTGTGTGTGTGTGTGTGTGTGTGTGTGTGTGTGTGTGTTGGGATGGGGGACTGTGACTTCATGTTCTTCCGAAGGTTGCTTGGTACCTTAATTTTTTATAAAATATGCCAAGGTTGTAGACTAGGACCTCTTAGACAAGCGGATTTTCATTCTGGCTGTGGAAGAACACTTTTCAGAAACACTAGTGCTTGGAGACTTCTAAAAAATTAAGCTGTATAAATTGTGACTTTTGTTTTTATAAACTAATAGAGAGCTAACGATGCAAAGAAGCTTAAATTAGTTGAATTTCAGAAAGTGATGAGTCCTTGACAGGAGATGAGAGACCCATGACTTCTTTCTTACCTTTGAAGTAGCAGGAAGGGGAGGAGCCCTCTGTAAAGGGGAGTCAGGAGAAGCCAGCTATAACAGTCTGCTCGGGCTGGCATGACAAGCATCACAGGCTGAGTGGAAGCCCCAGATCAAGGTGCTGCAGGGCTGGTTTCATCCTGATGTCTCTGTCTTTCGATAGTAGATGGCTGTCTTCCTCTAAGCATCCACAAGTTCTTCCCTCTGTTTGTGTCTGTGCCTTAATGCCCTGTTCTTAGAGGGACACCAGTCTTATTGGATATGGTCCTGTCTACTATTATTACTTCTTTAAAGATCTTATCTTTAAATACAGTTAATCTCTGAGATGCTGGGATTAGGGATTCAACATATTAATTTTGTGAGGCCACAGTTCATCCCAACACCACCAGCCCAACTCTTAACGAGCTTTTAATAGCCAGAAGTGGGCTGCTTCACACAGTCACAATTCCATAGGTCCAGGCACAAAGCAACTTTCCCCACCTGCAACTCCTTCCCCCAGGTCTTTACTGAATGTTTAGCGGGAGGGCATCCATTTCCTTTTCTTTAGTGATAAATGACCACAAACATATTGGCTCAGAACAAGATAAATTTATCATCTAACAGTCTTCATGTCAAAAGTCTGACAGTCTCACTGGGCTAAAATCAAGGTGTCCAGAGGGCTGCCCCATGAAGGCTTGAAGTGTCTCTCCCAGGGGCAAGGCAGTTGCCCTCCAAAAGAGACGGGAGGGCAGGAAGCCAAGGGGCCTCCACAGAATGGATGGCAGTACTGCGCAGGGCTGGAGAGCATAAATTCCCCAAGATTCCAGAGAAACTGGCAGCTGGGATGGAAAGTGAAGAAAAGTCTCCCAACTAATAAGAAAGCTGGCCGGTTCAGCTGTCAAGCAAAAGATCTCTCCAGGATCTCACCAGTGCTTGTATCCCTGCAGAACAAGGTCTGATTCTGACCTAAAACACTGGAAACTGGTGGTAAATGGACTGAAACTCAAGTTTCCACAAAGCTCACACCCAGCATGACTGCAGATGAGACAGAATCAGTCTGGAGTCAGTGTTGTTTACTTCCGTCTCTACCATTCTTTCATACAAAATGTTCAAGTAAAAACCAATATTACAAGACACACAGAGAGGAATGAAAATGTGACCTGAGGTCAAAACCAGGAATAAGTCAATAGCAGCAGACCCAGAAGGCCTAGATATTGGAATGACCAGATAGGAACTTTACAGTGATTCCGATGAAGGTGCCAAAGGATAAAGACACCAGGGACTGCACACAACCACTAAGCTCTAGTTAGAAGATTTGTTTCTTACACGGTTTTTGGTTGGCTATTCTGAAACTAATTTGTATCTGTATTAGGGTTAAACATATAAAAAATATTATCGATAATAAGAGTCAGGCTTCTCACTATCCAAGAAAAAGTTATGAATTAGGAAAGGAGGAAGGCAAGAATGAAACATGAAGTGTTGGATTGCAATAGAAGAAATTAGTATGAATTCATGAGCATTGTTTTAAAAAAGTATGTTCAGTAGAGAGATGTGGAAACTAATAGATGTGTGTATGCGAGGGTTAGT